CGCAGGTCTCTTGGGGCGGAACTCCGAGGGGGCCAGGGGTGCGTGTTGTCGGCGGGGGTCCTCCGCTCGACCTGGAGCCCCTCCCCCCCTCGGGGTCCGACAGCCCGCAGCCACACCCACAGCGCCGCCATCGCCTCGCCCTGCCCCACCCCTCCTCCCTACACCTTAGGCGATGCTTAAGAAAACTCAAATTTTCGGCCAGAGTCTCGATTATTCTTAATGTTTCAATGTAAATCTTAAGATTTGAATAGAAATTCTGGGTTTTTATTCACGTTCTGAGACTATGAATTTCTTAACGAATTTCTTAACCCATGATTTCTTAAGCATTTCGCAGGGTGTACACTCTTGAGCTCGTGCTGTTCGTTCGCCGAAGAAAGAGGCTCTTCCAGCACATGGACAATCTATCCGAACCCTCACACGTTTGAGGGGAATTCTGAGTCACCCCCACGCGCCCGACATCAATGTTGATCTCAGTGAGGGCGGTGCTTTGGGGGTTCGGATATTCATGTCCACTCACGCCCCCTCCGTCGCCACGCGATCCATATTGTTCCCAACCATCCTGTGGTGTTGGGTCCTCGTTTTGAAAAGACGGTCTCCGCGTTCTCCCCTCCTCCTCTGCCCCCTCCTCCTCTCCACCGTCCGCATGCGTCCCGCACACCACGTGCAGCGTTTCGTGGCCCTCCTCCCCTCCCCACCCAGTACAGCGTTTCGTGGCCCCATCAGTACAGCGCTTCGTTGCCCCATAGGGAGCTCCACCGAAGGTGCCAGTGCTACCGTCCGCATGCGTCCCGCACACCACGTGCAGCGTTTCGTGGCCCTCCTCCCCCTCCACCCTGCGTTTCACCCACCCAGTACAGCGTTTCGTGTTCCCATAGGGAGCTCCACCGAAGGTCCCAGTGCTACCGTCCGCATGCGTCCCGCACACCCAGTACAGCGTTTCGTGGCCCCAGGGGGAGCTCCACCGAAGGTCCCAGTGCTACCGTCCGCATGCGTCCCGCACACCCAGTACAGCGTTTCGTGGCCCTCCTCCCCCTCCCCCCTGCGTTTCACCCACCCATTACAGCGTTTCGTGGCCTCATAGAGAGCCCCACCGAAGGTCCCAGTGCTACCATCCGCATGCGTCCCGCACACCCAGTACAGCGCTTCGTGGCCCCATAGGGAGCTCCACCGAAGGTCCCAGTGCTACCGTCCGCATGCGTCCCGCACACCCAGTACATCGTTTCGTGGCCCTCCTCCCCCTCCTCCCTGCGTTTCACCCACCCATTACAGCGTTTCGTGGCCCCATAGGGAGCCCCACCGAAGGTCACAGTGTTACCGCCCGCATGCGTCCCGCACGCCCAGTACAGCGTTTCGTGGCCCCATAGGGAGCCCCACCGAAGGTCCCAGTTCCCGCACGCCCAGTACAGCGTTTCGTGGCCCCAGAGGGAGCTCCATCGAAGGTCCCAGTGCTACCGTCCGCATGCGTCCCGCACACCCAGTACAGCGTTTCGTGGCCCCATTGGGAGCCCCACCGAATGTCCCAGCGCTACCGTCCGCATGCGTCCCGCACACCCAGTACAGCGCTTCGTGGCCCCATAGGAAGCTCCACCGAGGGCCTCAGTGCCCCCGTCCGCATGCGTCCCGGAAGCCCAATTTGGCATTTTCACCAACCCAGTGCAGCGTTTCGTGGCCCCATAGGGGACTCCACCCAAGGCCCCAGTGCCACCGTTCGTATGCGCACGGGAAATCATGGGGGGGGGCGTCCGCGCAGTACATAGGGGGCTCCACCGAAGCCCCCAGTGGGACCGTCCGCATGCGTCCGGGAAATCCAATTTGGCATTTTCACTCACTCAGCAGAGCGCTTCGTGGCCCCAAAAGGAGCTCCACCGAAGCCCTCAGTGGGACCGTCCGCATGCGTCCCGGAAACCCCATTCGGCACACCACGCACACAGTACAGCGTTCCCCCCCGCCCAGTGCAGTGCTTCGTGGCCCCATAAAGGAGCTTCACCGAAGCAGATATTCACAATTACGGTGCCCACAACTGCATATGGTTGGGACCTTCGCCAGGATCATTTCCGGGGGGTCCGGGGGGCATCTTGGGACGCAGGGTTCGAATAGAGTGTCCATGTGCGGTCTCTCGTTCCCCTCCCCCCCTCCCCGCCGCTCGGGTTCTCGGTCCCTCGGTTGTTCGTCGGTGGCGCTCGTGCGCGCCCTGGGCCGGGGGAACACGCGGGAGGGCCGCGCCTGGGAAGGGGGGATGTCGGAGCCTTGCAGCCGCCGCCGGGCGCCCACCGCCGCCCAGGCAGTGCGCAACAGAGGCCATCCACGAGCAAAATTCGCTCGGTGAGCGCATGGCGGCAATCATCGAAGAAGAAAGAACGCCATACATGTAAACATTTGGCGCTCCGCGCGGATTTCTTGGATCCGCGCTGGGTCCCCCCCCGCGGCGCCTCCAGCGCCGCCCCTGGCGCGCTCTGCACTCCAGGGAGGGGGGTCCGGCGTAGATCCAAGAAATCCGCTCGGAGGGCCAACAGTTTATGTTTATGCCGCTGTTTCGTCTTCTTCTTCTTCTTCTTCTTCTTCGTATCATTTGTCAGATTCTTCTCCTTATTATCCTTCTTCTTCTTCTTTTTATTATTATTATTATTATTATTATTCTTCTTCTAAGGCCAACACAAGGTGGTCACCCAGATTCGCTTGCCCACGCTAAGCCCAGCTCTGTACTAGGGTGGCCCAGATACCAACCTCAACCCCCAGCTCGTCCCCCAGCTCGCCCTCAAGCTCGTTCTCGAGCTCGTCCCCGAGCTCGTCCCCGCTCCCGCTTCACCGCCCCCCACGCCCTCGTCTGCCCCTCCTCCCCGCTCTTGATCGCCTCCTCGTCTCTCCTCCTCCTCCTCCTCCTCCTCTTCCTCCTCCTCCTCCTCCTCCTCCTCCTCCTCCTCCTCCTCCTCTTCCCCTCTCCCCCCGCCTGGCAGAGAGAGAGGAGCAAACACATGGGAAATCGCCATTGAGGAAACGGGTCCTGAGGGAAACGGGTCCTAAGGGTTTTCGCCGTTTTCGGGCTCCCAGGGCCCGCCACGGGCCCTGGGACTGTCTGAACAGATCTGGTCCTGGGGGAAGCCCCCGGGGCCCAGGACCCGTTTCCCTCCGGACCCGCTTCCCCCATGCCAAGGGAGGGGGAGAGCAGGGTGGGTACGAGGAGCGGGGACGACGGCGGTCCCTTTTTCCCACCCCCCGTGAGCCAGGTTCTTCCCGAAGTACCCCCCGCAGGAGCTGACCATCACGGGGGAGCTCTTCGGGCTGCTGATTAAGAACGACCTGGTGCACGCGTCGCGCCCTTGGGGAGGGCAAATCAGGAGGGAAGAGGTGGGAGGGAGGAGGGGGGAGGGGGGAGGGAGGAGGAGGAGGAGCAGGAGGAGGAGAAAGGGAGGCGGATGAGGAGCAGGAGGAGGAGGAGGCGGAGGAGGAGGAGGCGGCGGAGGAGGAGGGGAGGAGGAGGAGGGTGAGGGAGAGGCAGGAGGAGGCGGTGGAGGGGGAGGGGAGTAGGAGTAGGAGTAGGAGTAGGAGGAGTAGGAGTAGGAGTAGGAGTAGTAGTAGTAGTAGTAGTAGTAGTAGTAGTAGTAGTAGTAGTAGTAGGAGGAGGAGGAGGAGGAGGAGGAGGAGGAGGAGGAGGAGGAGGAGGAGGAGGAGGAGGAGGAGGAGGAGGAGGAGCAGGAGGAGGAGGAGGAGGAGGAGGAGGAGGGCGGAGGGAGAAGGCGGAGACAGCGGCGGGCGAGGCCCTGGGCAGGGCGCAGCGCACGGGCAAGGGCGGGCGGGTGCCTGGGGGTGGTGGCCAGCAGGGGGGCCACCACCTCCTGGGCATAGGGGATCGGGGAGGAGGGGCCATGGAGGCTTCGAGGAGGCTTTGCGGAACCGCTCGAGGATCGGGAGGATCGGGTCGCCACTCCCTCGAGGAAACGCCCCCCCCCCCCCCCCTGGACCCCCCAGAACCCCAGAGGACACCCAAAGACGCCCTCAGACGGCCAAAGCCTTCTCCAGAAGAAGAAGAAGAATCAGAAAAATGCTACAACACACAATCTGTTGGCGCTCCGCGCGGATTTCTTCGATCCGCGCTGGGCCCCTCGGCGGCGCCTCTGGCGCACAAAAGAGCCATCGAGGAGGGGTCATCGAGCGCAAAAGAGCCCCTAACCTTAGTACCACGAGGAAGACGTGGCCTGACTGAGGTCCCCGTCTTCGCATGTTAGGTCCCCTCTCAAAGGGGATCGGGGAGGAGGGGTGATCGAGGATCGAGGAGGCTTCTCGAAGAAGAAAACGCCACAATCGTGAACTCTTGGCGCTCCGCGCGGATTTCTTGGATCCGCGCTGGGGCCCTCGTCGGCGCCTCCGGCGCTGCCCCTGGCGCGCTCCGCGCACCACGGAGGGGGTTCTAGCGCGCAGCGCACCAAGAAATCCGCACGCAGCGCCAAACGTCTAAGCGTATGCCTTTGGGTGTCCTTTGGGGTTCTGGGGGGGTCCTTTGGGGGGTGGGGGGCGGCGTTTCCTCGAAGGGTTGGCGACCCCCCTATGGATGACCCCTCTATGGCATTGCCTGGGGTATGGACTCATCCTCACCTCTCTCCTAGGGATGCGAGTCTTCGTCCTCCCCCATATTCCCCCTCTTCATCCTCCCCCATCTTGAGCCGTCTTGGGGCTCGCTTGGAGGCCGCCGCCGATCGGCTGGCGCTTCAGAGCAGGAGGAGGGAGGAGGAGGGATGAGGAGGGAGGAGGGAGGACGAGGAGGGAGGAGGAGGGGGAGGAGGAGGAGGAGGAGGAGGAGGAGGAGGAGGAGGAGGAGGAGGAGGAGGAGAGGAGAAGGAGGAGAAGGAGGAGGAGGAGGAAGAGGAGAAGGAGGAGGAGGGAGGATGAGGAGGAGGAGGAGGAGGAGGAGGAAGAGGAGGGAGGGAGGAGGAGGAGGAGGAGGAGGTGGAGGTGGAGGAGGAGGAGGAACGATGAGGAGGAGGAGAAGGAATAATGCGGCACCGATCGGTCAGTGCTCCCGATGGCGCAGGCCTGCGCAGGCCTTCTGGCAGCACAAGGCCTTCGACCGCTCGACTGGGGCCCTGGGGCCCAACGGGAGGGACGCCGACTGTTCGACAAAAACAACAAACTGCACCACCCCACCTACGGTCCTCCACGCTCCGAAGAACATCATGCTGCATAAACATTTTAACTTTTGGCGATCCGCTCGGATTTCTTGGACCTGCGCTGGGACCCCGCTGGCGGCGCCTCCGGCGCCGGCGCCGCCCCTGGCGCGCCCCGCGCCAGGGAGGGGGGCCCAGCGCAGATCCAAGAGATTCGCGCGGACCGCCAGAGGTTCCTATTTATGCCGTTGTTGTTCCTCTTAACCACCCTGCCTACGGCCCTCCATGTTGCGCTATGGCCCATCGGGGGCCGCAGCGTCTACCACGCAAAAGCCCACGCCAGGTCTCCTGGTATACGCGAAGCCCCGTGGGGCCGCAGGTGTGGCGGTGTCGCTTGTTTCCTGGCTCAACTATGCACCACCACCAGCCCTGGCCAGGCACCTCCTGGGCCCTGGATCGGTGTGCAGGCCTCTTAGCTCAGTCCAGGGCCCACGATGGGCCTGGCCAGGGCTGGCGGTGGTGTGTTGGTTTGGAGCTCGCCTGCCCCGGACGGCGACCTGAGCCAAAGCGGCCTGAGCCCGAACGGCTTGAGGCGAAGCGGCTGCGGAGGAACAGGCGAGGGGAGGCGGGAGGGAGGCCCCGCTCCCCCGGCTCCATGGCTGGGCCCCCCAGCTCGGAGGCAGACCCTTGTCGCGCTGCCTGCGGCACGTCCAGCCACCGTGCCAGCCCATCATTCTGGGTGGCGACTGTTCGATGGGGGCGCGGGAGGCCGGCAAGTGCGGCACTTCGCTGCTCCAGGTTTTGGGAGAGCCGTGGAAAGGATGATGAGGAGAATGAGGATGATGGAGCAGATGGCGATGATGACCGATGGTAGCGATAATGCGAACATTATGATGGTGATGATGACGCTGATGACGATGATGATGATGATGATGATGATGATGATGATGATGATGATGATGATGATGATGATGATGATGATGATGATGCTGATGCTGATGCTGATGCTGATGCTGATGCTGATGCTGATGCTGATGACGATTACGATGATGATGATGATGATGATGATGATGATGATGATGCTGATGACGATTACGATGATGATGATGATGATGATGATGATGATGATGCTGATGATGATGATGATAATCATGATGATGGTGGTGGTGGCGCTGATGATGCTGCTGCTGATGCTGCTGCTGCTGCTGGTGATGATGATGATGATGAAACTGATGATGATGGTGATGTTGATGATGCTGATGATGATGGTGATTATGATGGTGGTGGTGGTTATGGTGCTGATGATGGTGATGCTGATGGTGATGGTGATGAGGATGACCACGACACTGATGATGATAATCGGTGGTTATGATGAAGACGACGAGGATGCTGATGATGATGCTGCTGCTGCTGACGATGCTGATGATGATGCTGATGCTGATGTTGCTGATGATTATGATGCTGATGCTGCTGCTGATGATGCTGATGATAGTGATGTTGATGACGATGGTGACGCTGCTGTTGATGATGATGACAATGACGATGACGACGATGATGAAGATGCAGATGATGCTAATGATTATGGTAATGAGTGTGGTGGTGGTGATGATGAAGATGATGGCGGTGGTGATGATGAGGATACTATGACAGTCATGGTACTCGTTTGGGCCGTCTTGGGGCTGTTTTGGCCTCCCGTGAGGCAGTCTTGGGGGTGTCTTGGGGCCCTCTTGGGCCGTCTGGGGCCCTCTTACGCCGACTGGGGGTTCACTTGGGGCCCTCTTGGCCATGTGATGGGTGTCTGGGGGTCGTCGTGGGACCGTCTTGGCGCCGTCTTGGGCCGCCCGAGGGCCTTCTGAGGCCGTCTTGAGTCCCACGGGGGGCCCACACAGGTCCACCTCGTTCCTCCCCTCCACCACTCCCAGGAAACGGGAGAGCAATCGGAGGAGGCGGATGGATTCGAACTGGATTGATCTGAAGATAGGCTCATCGTCAGCCTACATGGAGAATGGGAAGGAACAAAGAGCTCACTCCCGACAGCGAGAGAGAAGGCCTCCCTCGAGGGGTGGGGGGAGGGAGGGAGGGGGGACGGAGGAGGTGGATCTGTGTGCGCCCGATTCGTAACCATGCGAAGCTCCTGGGAGTTCCGACCTCTCCCCGCAGGCCAGCTCCTCACCAGGGGGGCCCACACAGGCCCACACAGGTCCACCTCGCCCCTCCCCCTTCCACCTCTCCCAGGAAGCGGGAGAGCCAGCGGAGGAGGGGGGGCGGAGGGAGGGAGGGAGGGAGGAGGCGGCTCGGCGTGAGCGCTCGCTCCGCATCCGCGGCGAAGTCCCCCGGGAGCCCCGACCTCTCTCCCGCGGCCCGGCTCCTCGGCTCCTCGCCCGCGAGCCGCTGCGGCCGACGGCCCCGGCCGCCAGAGGCCGAGGCGGCAGGGAAGCCGCGGGAGTGGTCACAGAGGCCAGGTCGCCGGAGGTCTGGTCGGGGGGCTGCTGAAGGTGTGCACGCCGTGCATTCTTAGCTCTTTGGGAGTTCTCTTCTGCTTTTTTGGGGGGGGGGGGGGCAAGACCCTTTCATTCCTGATTCTACTCTCTCCTGGGGCTCTTCCTGGCCAGGAGGAGGGGGAGGAGGGGGAGCGGCCGTGCTCGGCGTGGGTGCAGCGCTGGCGTCCCCCGCGCTTGGGGCCGTCGGCTCCCCCCCCCCCCCCTCTCGGCCTGCCCAGGGCGCGTAGGGTCAGGGGCTTGTCAGGGCGCAGATTTCGTTCGGCCCGATATTGTCAGGGGGAAAAGAAACACACAGACACAATTAATCGTCGACTCCCAGGAAAATATGCAAAAATATGGGAAGTGGGGGGGAAGACAAAAACCCAGAAAATATAGGAAAATATGGGCAATCCTTTTATTTGTGTGTATTTATTTGTGTGTCCTGGGGCCCCTTCAATTTCGTTCGGCCCGAGCGGGGCGTTCCGACCCGCTCGGGGGCTGCCGGCAGTGCCCCCCGTCCAGGGTGCCCCGAGGAGGCCCCCCTTCGCGGCCTCCACAGAGAGCGCCCCCTTCACGAGGCCCAGAGGGCCCCAGGCAGGGCTCGTTTCGATTCCTCCGATTCGATTCGATTCGACTTCGATGGATTCCGATTCCGATTCGATTCGACCTGGGATTCCGATTTGGATTCCGATTTCTTATTGGAGGCATACTAGCCTGCCGATTTCCGCCGATCCGATTCATGTCGATTGCCGATCCGATTTATCGATTCGATTCTGGGCTCTCCTGCCTCAGGGGGAGCCAAAGCTGAGCGACAAGCTGGGGCCAAGGGTACCTTTTGGGTCGGGCAGGTCCCCCTACAGGCGGAGGTTTCACGAAGCATTTTAACAAAGATTCGACAATTGTCGAAACATGCTCGAAGAATTGTCCCCCGACTTTTTTGCCTATTTTTTTGAATATTCCTCCTGTAGAGGGACAGGCCCGACTTGGTACAAGTCGTTCATTTCTAATCGAGCTCACTTCTAATTGTGCTCGTTTCTCATTGTTCTCCTCCTCCTCATCCTCCTCCTCCTCCTCCTCCTCCTCCTCCTCTTCCTCAAAGGGGGGATAGGGAAAGGGGGGCTTACGAAATCTGCCGCATGCAGCTGGTTTCGGCCCCGCCGCCGGGCCCATTCCTCGATGCATGGGCGCCTCCCGGCGCCGGGAGGCGCCGGGAGAATCAGCTACGTGAGCCGATTCTCAACCCCCCCTTTGCTATCCCCCCTTTTCGCCCGGCCCGACAAGAGCAATGCCGGGCATGTCCCTCTACAGGACGAATATTCAAGCATAGTCACAGAACAGCCTGGTGGCGATTTCTTGATTGTCTTTGGCCATGTTGGGGTATGTGTTGGCTATGTTTCATTTTTCTTCCAGAATCCGCCTGTAGGGGGGCATGCCCGACCTAAGCCAAGAGGGGGGTGATGACCAGGGGTGGGGGTTTGGATCTCATGGCGGGGGCCATGTCATCACCCCAGATTTCGTGGCGCCTTCTCTTGTTTCAGTACGTCCCCCCTCCCCGCCTTGGCCGCGCACGCGCCGTCCCTCCAGGCGCGCCGCGCACGATGGAGCCTCGTCCCGTGGGTCACAGGCGCGCGAGCCAGCCAGCACGCGCCAGTCACGAAGTGTTGGGTTGTCCGTGCTTTCTAGTAGGCCTGCTGCCCGTTTTGCTGCTGACCGGCTTGTGCGCACTCACGGACGACATTCCCGCGATCTCACACGAAGCCACAGCCAGTCGATGCAAGCCAGCCGCTGAACCTGTGTGTATTTTTCTGTGCTTCCCTGTTGGACCTGATGCCCGGTCTGTGCTGACAGGCTTGCGCGCTCTCGCGACGGACGATTGGCCGTCGCTCCGCCCAGGCCCACGACGTCATGAGTTTTTGAATGGCTTGGACCCCCAGCGGCCTGGACCCACTCCCCGAGACCGGTTTTTCATCTGGGGCCGATGCTTGACGGCCCCGAGGCCCTGTAAGGCCCTCTAGAGGCCGAAGATTGTGAAAAGCCTCCCGTCGTGATTTTTCCATGGCCGGAGGGGGTTCTGGGCTGCGCTCTTTGGGCGCCGCGTCATGGGGGGGTCATAAATGGGGGGGTGGCGAGCGTGGTCCGAAAAGGTACCCAAACGGTACCTGAACGAGCCCCCTGGGGCTCTGGAGGGGCCCGAGAGGGGCACGAAAAGGGGACCTTTTCTGACCCCCCCCATTTGTGACCCCCCCATTTAAGCCACGCCCAAGCTCTTGGGGTGGCGGAGGTCCCCTAGAGGCCGAAAATTGTGAAAAGCCTCCCGTCGTGATTGAGGAGGAGGAGGAGGAGGAGGAGGAGGAGGAGGAGGGGGAGGAGGAGGAGGAGGAGGAGGAGGAGGAGGAGGAGGAGGAGGAGGAGGGGGAGGAGGGGGAGGAGGGTCGCGGAGAGGTCCAACCTGGGCCTCGCGCTGCGCTGCGTGCTGGAGGCGCTGCGGCGCCCGATGCACACGAAGGCCCCCGCCCGGCTGCCCACGGCGCCGGCCTCTCGCCGGCAGGCCTCTCTGGAAATGATGAGACTGTCCTCCTCCTCCTCCTCCTCCTCCTCCTCCTCCTCCTGCTCCTGCTCCTCCTCCTCCTCCCCCTCCTCCTCCACCCCCTCCTCCTGTCATTCGGGGGAAAACAGACCTACCTCGCTTTTGACCACCCTCGCTTCCAAGAGATACCAAACGATGCCAAATTGCGGCCTGTGCTGGTCAGTCTGTTTGACGAGGAGGCGCGTGGTACGGCTTGGTTTTGCCTGGAAGCGAAAGCGGGGGAGGTAATTCACGCTCTGAGTCATAGGCTCCAGGGGTCACACGTGTTACCTCACCGAGCGCGTTCCACTGTTCGCAAAGTGCCTGCTCTCAAAAGTCCGAGGACATGTGTTTGCCTCGACGTAAGAGTGAAGGGTATCCTAGATCCCCCGCGGCGGACCCAGGCCATTCGCGAGTAGATCCTGTGCGAGTAGTGGAACGCGCTTCTCTATTACTCCCCTCATTCAAGCCGCCCCCCTTCCTCCCCTCCCCTTGTAGCGGCAACGCCGCCTGGGAACCGGCCACAGGCGTGAACCCTCTCTAGTTTCCGTCGATTTAGGCATCCCTATGAGGAGAAGGGGGAGAAGCAGGAGGAGGAGGAGGAGGAGGACGACGACGACCGACGTGGCCCAGAGACTTGCGAAGGTGCACAGGCATTGTCGTCGATGTCGTTGTCATCGTTGTCGTCGTCATCGTCGCCGGCGTCTTCAGCGTCGTCGTCGTCGTCGCCCCCATTCGTGCCAAACATCTGCGCCTAAGAGTGCGAATTCGCCTGGGTGACGGTCAGTGCGGGCTCATTGGGATCTCCCGACCGCTGGATGCGACGCGATAGCAGCCGCTTGAGGCGCCTGGGTTTGGTTCCCCTCTCCCCCGCGCCCCTTCCCCCCGCCCAACGCCGCGCACCAGAGGCCACACTCCCCTGCCTACGCAGCCGCCGAGGAGCGAAACAGAGACGTAGGCCCAGGTAGCACTTCAGAGTCCCAGACTGCCCCCCGCTCACCCTGTGGAAGAAAAGAGCGTCCGACACCCTGGCAGGGTTGACCTGGGACCGGGCGCACCCCCTGCTCCTCCTCCTGCTCCTCCTCCTCCTCCTCCTCCTCCTCCTCCTCCTCCTCCTCCTCCACCTCCTCCTCCTCCTCCTCCTCCTCCTCCTCCTCCTCCCTCTCCTCCTCCTCCACCTCCTCCTCCTCCTCCTCCTCCTCCTCCTCCTCCTCCTCCTCCTGGGCTCTCGGGGGCATCGTTGGATGGCTCCGTGCCGCCTCTCGGGCCATCCCGTTGCATTATCGGAGCCTCGTGGAAGCCAGATCCCCTTGGAAGCACATCTCGGCCGGGCAGCAATCAGGGCTCCTTTCGATTCCGTCGATTTGATCCGATTCGATTCCTCCGATTCGATCCGACTTATCGATTCGATGCTGGGCTCTCCTGGTAGCACTCGGGGGCGAGCAAACCATGGGGGAAGAAGGACGGGACCCTGAAGGGACCCTTTAGGGTCCTTTTCTGCACTCCCCGTTTCGGTCACCCCCCAATTACCACCCGCCCGAATACCGGGGGCCACATTTTGCCGGGTTTGGCCAATCATCCCATGCCGTTGAGTGGCCACCCTGGACTGCAGATGGGGCCCTCTCGGGGAGCCGCCCGCGGCCGAGACGCAGCCTCCGACGCCTCGCGGGGGGAGCATTGAGGCCCCAGGTGCAATAGGGGATGGGGATGATCCGGGGGCGGACAGAACCCCCAACCTGACACGTCGATTAGTGAATTGTCCGTTTTCGGTTCTCGAGAGGTCGCCGCGGCCGTCATTTTCCACGCTTGCGCCCGCCAGGTTTGCGCCCGAGGTCGTTTATACTAAACCACGTTTTGTGAAAGCGGGTTCTGTCCATCCCCGAATGATGGCCCAGACCCCAGACCCCCTCGGGTCATGAAAAAATCGCGACGGGAGGCTTTTCGCTAGTTTCGGCCCCTGGAGGGCCTTACGGGGCCTCGGGACCGTCAGGAACGACTCGGGACGAACATCGTTCCCGGGGAACCGATTCCAGACCGCTGGGGTTCCACGTCATGGAAAACAACAAATGACGTCGGGGGTCTGGGAAACCCGCGAACTCTCTGAACCACCCACGCCCAGAGAGTTGGTGGGACTCTCCTTCCTTCTCCCTTCTCCTGCGCATCCTCCCCTCACTCGTCCTCCTTCCTCCTGGACCCCCCCGATCCGTAGCCATTCAGGATCAAGACGCATTGATTGGATATCTCCTTGAAATCGTAGGGCACCCAGACGTGCACACATCTTCTGTCTGCTCTCAGATTCTCAATGAGCGCGATGTCCGAGAAGCGTGTTGACCCAGACGATGGTATGGCGTACACTTTCGACGAGCTTAGCACCTTCTACAAGGGCAAGTACAAGAAGAGCGAGATCAAGGCTTACTGGGAGACCTGCAAGCCCGCGAAGGCGGCCAAGAGCAAGGCGAAGAGCAAGGCCAAGGCAGAGCCCAAGATCAAAGCCAAGGCCAAGGCCAAGTCGGAGCCCAAGGCGAAGGCGAAGACCAAGGCGAAGGCCAAGGCCGAGCCCGCGGCCAAGCCGACCCTGGGCAAGCCGGCGCTCGCGGGGCAGAGCCGCTCGGCCAAGCCGGTGAACGTCTCGGCGCTGCTGAAGGTCACGAAGGACGACCTCGGCCTGCTGCCTCAGCCAGCCAAGCCGAGGTTCAGGACGGGGGGGAAATGCCACTTGACAAGCACAGAGACATAGCAAAGAAGCAAGCATATTGCAGTCAACCATCGTGATAAGGATGGAAATCCTTCCCAAGGCTACCCTTGCATCCTCGCCTCCTCGGTCCATCCTTGGCCGCTTTCGCTGGCCGCGCCCCGCTCGCAAACTGTCGAAAGGGGCGTCCAAGGCGCGAGCATCCGTATCGCGCATCCTTATGAGACGGGCCAGCTGTGGATGTTTGGGGAAACAACACTTGATGAGCACCCACACCAAAGCAGACAAGCAAACCCATTATCCTGGCGAAGGACCCAACCACATGCAGTCGTGAGTACCGCAGTTCGGAGGGTCCTCTCCGGTGGAGCCCGCCTCCAGTGCCACGGAACACGCGACGGGTGTGCCGACATGGGCGGGGAGCCGCTCGCGAGCCCTGACGCTGAGGCCTTCTGTGTGGAGCTCCCTAGGGGGGAAAGAAAGAAACACACAACATCAAACGAACTAGCCTGACGAAGGACCCAACCATATGCATCTGCGAGTACCGCGAGGGAGATGAGACGCAGGAGGGAGGCGCGCAAACTCCGCGTAGCTCTCATAGGCAGCGCGCGGCAGGAAGAAGGAGGCAAAGGGCAGTGCAGGCGGGGGGAGGGGGGGTGGGGGGTGGGGGAGCGGAGCGGGGTGGGGGGGATGGGAGCGGAGCGGGACGGGGAAGTTAAGGACGGCGCTCGTCGGTGTTTACGTCCGCGGCGCACCCTTCGGCGGCAGCGACAAGAGCTCCAACGGTCACCGCTACGACTCCATCCGAGGAGCAACAGACGGCACAAGCATCAGCGTTTGGAGCTCCGCGGGGATCTCTTGGGTCGGCGCTGGATCCCCCCTCCTTTCATCGAGCATGGAAGAAGAAAAAAGAGCTCCGAGCCTCAATCACACAATTGAGAGGTCGCCTAGCTCAGGCCCCCATCTTTGCATCCGGGCTCGTCAATGTGGGTGGTTTGGTTTGGCACACCTGCTGAAAAGACCCACTGTCTCTGATGTTCTGCACCTCTCACCGGTCACCTCAGGTCCGCTCCCAAAGTGTGAGGGGCCCCTTCGTTGCCAGTCGGCCCTGGCGCCCGGAGCGCTCCGGGGGCGGGGCGGGAGACGCCGCCAGGGGAGCCCAGCGCCGATCGAAGCAGTCCGCGCGGAGCTTCACGAGTGATGTTCAGGCCGTCCTCTGTTCCTCGATCCCTCCCCTTCGCCAACGGCATGATCGCCTCGGGAATGAGCTGCCAGCTGATCAACTATTTGAGGACCTTCGGCCGTTGCCGCCGGCCCCCCCTGCACCATGCATGATTCGATCCCTTCTCGTCGTCGTCGGTCGTCGTCGTCGTCGTCGTCGTCCTCCCACTCCTCCTGTTGTTCTCCCTCCTGGAGTCTCTTGGCACCCTCTCGGGAACAGTTCTTGAGCCGTCCACTTGCGCCCTCCCCTAGTAGTTGTTTGATGTTCCGTTGGGCTCTTCGTGGAACCAGTCATTGCGTTCGGAGGTTGGGGCGCGAAGGCGAAGTGGCCACACCTCAGAAATCGGTTTGGGTTCATGTCGTGTATCCGAGCGTCGTGGAGTTGCGGAAGGGCGATGATGTGTCGGCCGCTTGTAGGGCCAAGTCGGGCAACAGGGTTCTGCCGTCCCTCTCGCGGAGGCGCGCGGGATTGTCCCGCGGCTGTCCCATGGGTTGTCTAGCTGTCCTGTGGTTGTCCCGTGGGTTGTCCCATATCGCGTGGTTTGTCCCGCGGACTGTTTCGCGGATGCCCCGTGGGAAAAGCACACCAGAATCCAAGTCCAATTGTAATTGAAATGCAAGTCGGAATGCAAGTCGAAATGCAAATCCAATGTCGTACCGGGATGCATATTGACTTGCACATCGACATGCACGTTCAAATGCAGCTCGACATGCATATGCAATTGCAAGTCTACATCCCAGTCTAAAGGCAACTCGACATGCAAATCCAATGGCATACCGAATGCAAGTCGGCCTTCAGTTCGACGTGCACAGCAATAATGCATGTCGAGACGCACATCGAAATTCAAGGCATCTAATACGTGTATGCACACCTGCACGTACAACCGACATGCAATTCGATATGCACGTCGGCATCCAACAACATTGCAAGTTAACCGCACGTCGGCATGCAACCTGAATTGCAAAGCGTATTGCTCTCGAACGTCCCAATTGCAATTGAGTTGACATGTGGCATTCAAAAACATGTGCAATTGAGATGCAAGCCAACACGCACATCGGCATGCAATCAGCATGTCCATCGGCGTACACATGCAATGCAAGCATGACTGCATATCGAATGGCAAGCTGAAGTGGACATCGAGATGCAAGTTCATACCCCCGAGCCTAAGTATCACCTTTAGGATGGTATACGACGTATATCGGCCTTCTTGGCTTCTCGGTGCGCTCTTTGACTATTTTCTTGTGGGCTCTTGGGTTGCGCAGGAACTGTTCGGGATCTTTCCATGGCATTTTTCAATGTCGTTCCGTTTTGGGGCCATAGGTCCACCGCGTGGGATCGCGGCCATGCGAACGCGGACCCTACATAGTTTACAAAGGGTTGTGGTCCTGGGAATGCGGGCTCATGGTAGGTTGCAGGAGGTCGTTTCCTGGGGAGCGCGGGCCCACATCAATTTGAAAGGGATCGTGGCCTTGGGATCGTGCATCCAGCGTGCAGTGCAAGTGGTGGTGGCACTTGGACTTCGTAAGGGAGTCTTCTTTGTAGTGCAGACTGGGGGGTAGTTGGAGGGGGAGGGGGGCGTCCCTTGGGTGCCGTCCCAAAGCGGCCGTCTCGCGCAGACACCCCCCAACACGGAGACTTCGACGACGTCGTTGTCGTAAGCTGGCATCTTGGGCTCTAAGCGTTTTTTTAAGGTGGCCCGGCAGGGCTCCAAGATCCCCCCCCCCGACAGAGCCGAACTAGGGCCTCCAACAGGCACCAATCGAGGATGAGAACGAGGAGGATGATGAGGAGGAGAAGGATGAGGAAAGGGATGAGGACAACGACAACGATCAGAACGATAACGGTAGCGATAACAGCGATCACAACAATAACAACGATAATAACGATCGCAACAATCACGACGATCACACCGATCGTTGTTATTGTTGTGATTGTCGTTGTCTTGATCGTACAACGGTAGCAACGATTGCAGCAATCACAGCGGTCGCACTGATCGTTGGTACAGCGTTGTGATCGGTGTCATTATGGTCGTCATCGTGGTGATTGCTGTTGTCGTTACTATCGTCGCCTTTCGGGCACGCACGTTTCTACTGCTGTTCAGGGCTGGACCTAAAAGCTGTTTTGCTGGACTTCGGCTGTCTTTTGTTTTCCGTTTTGGCAGGGAGGTACCGGGAAACGGGTAGAGCAAAACGACAAACAAAACGAAAAGAAAAGGAAACGCAGCGTTTAGGCCCAGCTCTGCTGCTGTTACATCCGGGCGCGAGAGCTTCAGCCGCGGGGACCTCATGGGAGGACGCAGGGCTCGGGCGCGAGTCCCGCCTCGAGCTCCCGTGCTCCGCGAAGTGCAGGGAAGCACCTGCTCTGCGGGCTGCCGTCACATCCTCGTCGCGTGTCGGGGTCGAGCCCTGCTTTCTCTCTGTCTCTCTCGCGGCAGTTGTTGCTCGGTTCTGCATTCGAAGAACGAGAAACGGCGTAAGGATGAATGTGTGGAGCCATGCGCGGTTTTCTTGGATCTGCGCTGGAACCCCCTGGCGGCGCCTCCGGCGCCGACCCTGGCGCGCTCTGCTCGCCAGGGAGGGGGGTCCAGGTCAGATCCAAGAAATCCGCGCGGACCTCCGGAAGTTTATGCTTATGCAGTTATTCGCTCCTGTATGCACGTGGTGCAAGGCTCGAGGTCGAGTCTGGAAATTCGTTTGTCCGCTCGGGCAATGTGCTCCCAGGGTAAGGACGTGGGCACCTTGGGCGTGCCGCTGCTGAGCGGCCAGCCTTCCGCCGCTTGGCACTGCTTGCTGCACGGGAGGGTAAGGGAGGAGTGGATGCCTGGGCACGGAGGGACGGTCCTCTGCCGCCTGCTTGCCTCGCAGTCGCCTCGGGGAGGAGATGTTCCTCTTACCCCCTGGGGGCCCCCTCCCGAAGGCCTCGAGGTCCCGGGGTTCCCCTCGTCCCCGCTCGTCCCTTCCCTCTTCGTGGCTGTGGCTAGGGGTATGGACCCGTCGTCTCCGCGGCCCGTTTCGGCTCCATGAGGTTTCTCGCGCCTTGGAGGAACAGGTTCGCCCGCTTGCCTCGCAGTCGCTCAGCACGGTGGGGGCGAGTTCTGAGCTCATTACACGGGCGCCTCCACCTGCTCAGCACGGCCGTGATTGACTCGTCCTGTTATCCTGACAAGGTATAGGGACCCCCTGAGAGTGCCGAGCGGTCAAAGTGAGACCACTGGATGGCTTTCGGGCCTTGCAAGAGCTACACGCCAGCGGAGGTCTCGGAATCGAAGACAAGCAGGTGCCTGGCGCAGGAGCAGACAGCTTCAAGCATGGGCCCGCGAGCCCACGAGCGCGGGGATCAGCGAGTGCAACGGGGGCGCGCACAGGGCCTCACGAGTTGCAGCGTCGGCGATGGTGTCGTCGGCGCCGAGCCTCGTGGTGCCGCTGATCCTGCGCAGGACGCGGTTGTGCTGGGCTTCGAGCGGTGGGCAGACTTTCTCCAGCTTGCCCCTCCAGGCTGCAGCAGCACAGCGGGCTCGCGAAAAGGTTAGGGACTGCGCGAGGGTGAACTTCGTCTTCAGCTGGACGTGCAGGGAACCGAAGGTCGGAACCGCCAGCGTCGCGAAGGACTGCTTGGCCTTGGTGTTCCCGCGCGTTGGCTTGGTGTTTACCGGCTTCTTGTGGTAGTTATGGTCCCGAGGTGTTGGAAGTGATGAAACACTTGAGGAGCGTTGCCATGCAATGTGGCAACTCCTCCTTGCCTTGACGCAATCGGCGATCTCGCCAGACCATGCGGGAGCGTGGATCGCACAGCTTCACCGTGGCTCCCGACTTGTCAGGGCCGAGGTTTATGGCAAGGCCACTCCTCCAGAGCTTCTCCATCGTATGTTAGCAGCTCTGTCCAGATGCTGTAGGGCTTGCTCCGGCCAGCCAAATTTCTGTTGGTGAAACATGACGACCGCGTCGTCTACATACTCGACGTCATTCGGCGTGCTGCTAGACTGGTGCAGACCAGGCCTGTCAGCTGGAGCCGCGGCCCAAGGTACAGTCAACCCGTATAATGAGGATGGGCATCCTTCCCTTGCATCCTTGCCTCCTCGGTCCATCCTTGGCCACTTCCGCTGGCTGCGCCCCCCCTGAAACGCTTCGAGGTGGCCTTCCAGGGCCCTCTGCATCCTCATCGTGCATCCTCCCGACTCGGGATGGTTGTACATGCTCGACGTCAGTCGGCGTGCCGCCAGACCTGTGCGGGCCAGGCCTGTCGCCTGGAGCCGTGGCCCACGGTGCAGCGAGGGCGGCCTCCGCGGGCAGCCGCACGGCGGTGCCCCTCGTCAGCGGAGCGGCGCCTCGCGCGCCCGAGGCCCGGCTCGCAGCACGGGTTCTGTCGGGCATGCCCCTCCACAGGAGGTCAACTCGAACATAGCCAGAGACAGTCAGGAGACGACTCTTCGACTATCTTTGGCCGATGTTTTCGCATCCTCGCCGATGTTTGCATTCACCTGCCGAGATCCGCCCGTCGGAGGACGTGCTCGACCCGAAGCCGAGGCTGAGGCACGGCGCGCCCAGGCCGCATCCTCGGCGGGCCTCCGCGCCGGGGGAGCACGGCTTCGCCTCCCCTCGCCTCGGACCGCGAGCCGAGTGCCGGGGTGGGGCTGCCAGCCACTCGACGCATTTCGTCCCCCGTGCGGGCCTGCTTGTCGGAGGAGGGGCTGGTGATGCTGAAGGTGACGTTGAACTTCTCGGGCTACCGTTGATGATGATGATGATGATGCTGATGATGCTGATGCTGATGATGATGCTGATGATGATGGTGGTGATGGTGGTGATGATGATGATGGTGATGGTGATGGTGATGGTGATGGTGATGGTGATGGTGATGATGATGCTGCTGATGATGATGATGATGATGATGATCATGATGATGATGATGGCGATGAGGAGATGGAGGAGGAGAAGGAGGATGACGAGAAGGCGGAGGAGAAGGAACAGGGGGAAGAGGAGGAGGAGGAGGAGGAGGAGGAGGAGGAGGAGGAGGGAGAGGAGGAGCAGGATGAAAATGGAGCGTAGAGGAAGATGAGGCGGATGATCGTGGAGAAGGGGGAGGAAGAGGAAGAGGAGAAGGAAAAGGAGGCGGAGGAGGAGGATGAGGAGAAGTGAGGAGGCACGCGTCGAACGAAGTGGCGCTGGGAGTCCAGATCTAGTATGATTTGCGAAGGGTCGCGGCCCTGGGAGCGCGGAACTTTTGTAATTTGCGCTGGATTGTGACCGTCGGAGCGCGGATCCAGCTTGTGTTTCCAGGGGTCGCGGCCTTGTGAGCGCGGATCGAGAGAAATTCTTGACGCTTCGCGTCCTGCTCATCCAGAAACGATGCCCAGGCGAGCAAGACAGCGAGGGTGGCAGCCGTCATCCCGAAGCCCAGGATCAGCCTGATCAGGCAAACACCATACGTGCCTTCGCCGATCTTTCGATGTGGAAGCCTCTTTGGCGCTTCTTTGGGCCATCCTGGAGCCCTGTAGGGACAATGTTGGAGGTCTTCAGGGCTCTCTCTTGCGGCCGCCGCCTCTTGGAGCAATCTTGGGACCATCATGCGGTGCTCTTGGAGGCTGTTGGGGCCGTCTTGTAGCCCCTCAGGGCCCCTCTCGGGGCTCTCTCTGGGGTGATACTGGAGCCACATTGGGGCTTCTGAAGCCCATCGGGAGCGGAGCGACACTGCGAGAATGGATTATCTGGGGCCATATGGGCGCCACTTGGGCCCAAATGCCTCCCAAGGATGCCGCCAATACGGCCAAATCTTTCAGACAGGCACGAGTAACTCAATCACCTTGCTCAAGAAGGCTGGAGAATGCGCTGGGCCAGCCCCAGGGTCAGGTGACTGGGTGTGGGCAAGAGGGGGTAGGCCGTCGAACATTTACAGAGCCCTCAACGTGCAAGGCGGCACGGTGGCGGACGTGCACGACGAGCATGACACCTTCTTCGAGGTCGTGAAGGCCTTCGATGCGCTCATCGTTCGGTGCAACCCAGGCCAGATCAAGGCGGATGGAGGCAGTCAGGAGAAGTTCGACGATTCCATGCGCACTCTGCGCAAGGCCGGCATGCAGGTTTGGCCATCGCCTGACGTGATGGAGTTCATGGGCGCCAAGGACGCCCTGTGCAAGATCGCGAACATGAGCATCGGCCTGGAGGACACCCTGGCCTACTATGATCCCGCAGAGTTCGCTGCAGGCTTCAAGAAAACAATGGCCTTCCAGCCGCGCGTCATCAAGCAGAACCGTGGCTCTGCTGGAGAGGGCATTTGGATCATCAAGCTCAAGTCCGGCGAGTACTGCAGCACTTTCGGAGAGAAGAGCTGCGACGACAGCGAGAAGCTGGACCTGATGGAGGCCAACGACAACCACTCCGAGGAGCACACGGTGGGCGAGTTCATCGAGTTCTGCGTCAACGGCCGCACGGCGAAGTCTGGCGAATGGGCCTCGAAGGGCGTCGGGAAGTACCTCGAGGGCGGCAAGGCGGCGGGTGGACAGCTGGTGGACCAGCGCTTCTGCCCGCGCATCGTGGAGGGTGAGCTCCGCTACAACATGGTCGGCGACTCCCTCATCGGCATCATTCACAAGAAGCCGAAGGAGGGCGGCATCTCCGCCGTGGGCGGCACGGGTTCGATCTACACCTACTACGGCCCGAAGGAGAAGAAGTTCGCCAGCCTCACGAAGAGCTTCACTGGCGATGATCTGCCGAAGATTATGCCCGCGCTCGGTTTGGCGGCTGAGCCGATCCCGCTGTGGTGGACTTCCGACTTCATCAACTCCTCCCCCGAAGGCACGGCCGCCAAGGACGAGAAGTGGATAGTCGGCGAGTTCAACTGCTCGTGCGTGGGCATCTCGAAGTGCCTCGCCGCCTACTGCAAGGAGGACACCCCGAACGCCTGCTACTCCGACATCTCCAAGAAGGACCAGGCCGAGGTGAAGAAGATTGGCGACCTCGTGGGAACGAAAGCGCTTGGCATCCTGATCAAGGCGGCCAGGGAGAAGGCAAAGCCCGCTGGCGTCGGTGACTACTTCTCGGGTGGGCCAGTGGACGTGTCGTCTCTCACCAGGGTTACCAAAGACGACCTTGGCCTACTGCCGCAGCCGGCCAAACCACGGTTCAAGACTGCGCTTGTGGGCGTCTATGTCCGCAGCGCCGACTACGGCGGCAGCGATAAGAGTTCAAATGGGCACCGTTACGACTCTATCCCCTTCGCCAACGGAATGATCCTGGCCGGCATGAGCTGCCAGCTGATCAGTTACGTCCACAATGACCACGCCAAGTTCTTCGAGGTGTGCAAGTCCTTCGATGCGCTGATCGTCCGTTGCAATCCTGGCCAGATCAAGGCGGACGGTGGCGACCAGAGCAAATTCGACGATTCCATGCGCGCTTTGCGCAAGGATGGCATGCAGGTTTGGCCATCGCCTGACGTGATGGAGTTCATGGGCGCCAAGGACGCCCTGTGCAAGATCGCGAACATGAGCATCGGCCTGGAGGACACCCTGGCCTACTATGATCCCGCAGAGTTCGCTGCAGGCTTCAAGAAAACAATGGCCTTCCAGCCGCGCGTCATCAAGCAGAACCGTGGCTCTGCTGGAGAGGGCATTTGGATCATCAAGCTCAAGTCCGGCGAGTACTGCAGCACTTTCGGGGAGAAGAGCTGCGACGACAGCGAGAAGCTGGACCTGATGGAGGCCAACGACAACCACTCCGAGGAGCATACGGTGGGCGAGTTCATCGAGTTCTGCGTCAACGGCCGCACGGCGAAGTCTGGCGAATGGACCTCGAAGGGCGTCGGGAAGTACCTCGAGGGCGGCAAGGCGGCGGGTGGACAGCTGGTGGACCAGCGCTTCTGCCCGCGCATCGTGGAGGGTGAGCTCCGCTACAACATGGTCGGCGACTCCCTCATCGGCATCATTCACAAGAAGCCGAAGGAGGGCGGCATCTCCGCCGTGGGCGGCACCGGTTCGATCTACACCTACTACGGCCCGAAGGAGAAGAAGTTCGCCAGCCTCACGAAGAGCTTCACTGGCGATGATCTGCCGAAGATTATGCCCGCGCTCGGTTTGGCGGCTGAGCCGATCCCGCTGTGGTGGACTTCCGACTTCATCAACTCCTCTCCCGCTGGCACGGCCGCCAAGGACGAGAAGTGGATCGTCGGCGAGTTCAACTGCTCGTGCGTGGGCATCTCGAAGTGTCTCGCCGCCTACTGCAAGGAGGACACACCGAACGCCTGCTACACCGACATCTCCAAGAAGGACCTTGCCGAGGTCAAGCGCATCGGGGCGCTCGTGGGCAAGAAGGCGCTCGGCATTCTGGGGAAGGCCTCCTCGGAGTCGAGGGCGTCCGCTGCGGAGGACGCTCTGAAGGCGATTCTCAGGTCCGTGGACCCCAAGCTCGCCGACAACACCGTTCTGACTGACAAGCTCAAGAGCTGGAAGCGCAGCTGAAGCTGCAGAGAGAGTGTGCATACACGTCATGCGTAGCACGGTGCGCTACCGCGAGAAATCTGCACCTCATGTATTTTTCGATCTGGCCAGGGCAGGGTGTTCGGCTCTATCCAGCTACGCGTAAGAGTGACGCTTCGCCAGAGTAACTTTTGGTGGTGGCCCCATCGCTGAATTCTTGACGCTTCGCCGACCACCCCATCCCATTCAGAAGCGAAAACCAAGCGAGTTGCCTTGATCAGGGGTGCGTAGCAGCACGCTTCCAGATGTCAACCATAAACGCCTTCGCAGATCCTTCGCTCTTGTTGGAGCCGTCTTGGAGCTCTCTTGAGGCTCTACTGAGGGCCCTCAATGCGCTTTGGGGGCTCTCATGGGGCCCTCGACCCTCTTCGGGGCACTTTTGGGGTGTACAGTGGAGGCTGCCGTCGATCAAAGCCGAGGGAGGGGGGTCCTCAATTCCGACCTCCCGCGTCGGAGGCCCCCAAATCGCCTGCCGGAGCGCTCTTGAGCGCTCATACGGTGTTACAGGAGCACCCCTGGGCCTCCCTCGGGGCACCTGTCCATCTCGGAGCCATCTCGAGGCCCCAAGAGCCAATCGGAAGCGAACAGGCGAGAGGGCCCAATCATCGATGTCCCAAGAAAGTGTTGGATGGACGCTGCTCGGCCACTTGGAGCGATCTTGGGGTTGGAGGCGTGTTGGAAGCTGTCTTTAACCATCTTGGGCTTCCTTGTGCAGTCTTGGAGACCATCCCAGGCGATACAGGTAAATCATTGAGCCATACTGGGCCAGCTTGGACGCCTTAACCTCTCGCGACTCACCACTTTACCCGAGAGAGGGAGGAGGGGGGGGCAAAGCCTACCTGTTAGGCGAAGAGGGGGGTTGCAAGAACGACCTCGTTAAACCATCCACGCCCCAAAGAGCTGGTGGGATTGGATATGCTGGCAGCGGCCTGCGCGCTTAGATTTGCCCCTCCACCCCACCCCCCTCTCTCGCGGCCCCCTGAAGCCGCGCACCACAGGTCACTCTTGCCTACTCCAGATGTCACAATATGAACGGGGGGTGCCCTGATTTGGGTGGGGGTCTGATTTGATCTGCCTTGGAGGGTTCCGATGGGTCTGGGCAAAAGGCCGCCCTGGGGGGTCCAAGATTTTCCGGCCGGGCATGGTTGTGGCCCCCTCTCTTTTTGTCACGACATCTGGAGCAGGGTCACCCCTGCGTGTAGCCGACCTAGCCGGCCTGTGCGTCCCCATTTTGGGGTGCCTGCCTCCTGGCCGATTCCGATGTGGTGCTCTTCTCCCCTTTCGACGGCCCTGCCAGCGGGGGCGCCGCCCCTGCTGCCACTGCCTCGCGCACCCGCGCCGTGCATGTCGATGGCGCCTACCGTCTGCGACCTTCTGAGGCTGCGCGTAATCTCGGAGAAGAGAGGCTGGCATGAATACAAACTTCCTCAGCGGAGGGAGAGGTACCCATACCGCTGCCCTTCCCTCGTCTTCCCTTTTTGGGGGCCTTCTGGGAGGCCCTCGTCGCCACCGCTGGATTCGCACCGAAATCCTGGTGAGGGCGCACCCCGGGAGAGGTCCGGGGAGTAGCGGTATCAGTACCTTTTGGTTTTAGGCCTCCCCGCTGGGGTCGGAGTAGATGGGATCGGAGGATCGCGCCGCATCGCCGATGCATCGGCGATGCGGGTCGATGCGGAGCCCGATTATCTCGGCGCCGACGTCGCCGCTGCATCGCCGACGTTACCGATGCATCGTTGATGCGGCGCGATCCTCCGACCACTCGTTTTCTGCAATGCGATGTCCAGGCCTTTTGCTGCCTGTGCCCTGCCTGCCGGAACTGCCCGGCGGGCGCACCCCTGAGATGATCAGAGGCGCGGGCCTTGGGGCCCGTCAGCGCCCACGGCCAAAACGGCTGCGGAATGAGGATGTGCCGTTGCTGCTGCGCGATCCTCCGATCACGTCTACACCTTCTTAGGCGATGCTTAAGAAAACTGAAGTTTTCGGCCAGAGTCTCGATTATTCTTAATGTTTCCATTTAAATCCGAAGATTTTAATAGATTGTTTTTGGTTTATCTATAAATTCTGAGACTATGAATTTCTTAACCCATGATTTCTTAAGCATTTCGCAGGGTGTACTCGGACCCCCTTTGAGAGGCCTCTCCGCGGTCTCTCCCCACTCTCTTCGGAGACTTTCGTTCGGGCTCCTCGGGCCGCCGCCTCCGGCGCCCCCCCCCCCCCCCCCGTGGCGGCGCCTCCGGCTCCGCCCCTGGCGCGCTCCCCGCGCCAATCAGGAGGAAAAGAAACACACAGACACAATTAATCGTCCACTCCCAGGAAAATATGGGAAAATATGGGAAGTGGTGGGGAAGACAGAAACCCAGAAAATATAGGGAAATATGGGGAATCTTTTTATTTGTGTGTATTTATTTGTGTGTCCCAGGGCCCCTTCAGCCAAGAGAGGACGACCCGAGAGGTGCGGTCCCCAGCCCGCGCGGACCTGCGAAAGTTTAGGTGTTCCTTTGCAAATCGTCGGCGCCTGGTGTACCGTCTTCGTTCCGTCCTCAGCGTCGAGTGGCGTCGAGTAGCGTTTTGGGGTCGATGAGATGGCGCCGATTTAGCGTCGGCTAGCGTCGATTAGCGTCGATTTAGCGTCGATGTGCGTCGATTTAGCTCCGACTAGCGTCGATTCGCAAGAGCCGACAAGATTGTATGGGAGGCTCCCATGAATTGCCGCCGAACAGTTTGCGCGGACCTACGAAAGTTTATGTTCATGCCGCTCCTTGTTTCTCCACAATTCAGCCTCAGCCTGCACCCAGGCTGGTCTTGCTGCTGATGCAGCCTGTCTGGCCTGGCTGTCATCGTTTGCGCGCGGCCGCTGGATGAAAAATCAACTGCGGTCGCACCAAGGTATAAGATCGAGGTTGGTTCGGAGAGGGTACCCTAATGTTCTTCGTGTTTCTTGGATGTTCTTTTGCATCCCGAGGGAGGGTATACCCTCGAATGTTTTCCAGTTTGGCCGTCGGAGAGTCTCATGCTCTTGAAGGATGTCCTTCTGTCCTGGGTCCGGCCGTACGCGTACGAGCGACATATCGACATATCGCCACCGGGGCTCCCCCGATCGCTAAGTTCGAAGAAGAGAAAAAGGCATAAACAGTTTCGGCGCTCCGCGCGGATTTATCTGGATCTGCGCTGGGCCCCCTTTGGCGGCGCCTCCAGCGCCGCCCCTGGCGCGCTCCGCGCGCCAGGGAGGGGGGTCCAGCGCGGATCCGGGAGATCCGCCCAGACCTCCAACAGTGTCTTTGCTGGTCCATGTTCCTCTGGAAGTGCGGGGCAACAGCGGCTGCTTGCGCGCTTGCGTTTGGCCCCCCCTCGCCCCGCCTTCCGCGTGGCCGCCCTCCCCCCTGGGGGGAACCGCCGCGCCCGCGCTCCGCTCCGCGCGCGCGGAGCGGCCCTCCCATCGACGGGGGGAGGACGCTTTGCAGAAGCAAAGGGCGCTGAAAGGGCAAGAGGCGGGGAGGAAAGGAGGAGGAGGAGGAGGAGGAGGAGGAGGAGCCAGAGGAGAAGGAGAAGGAGGAGGAGGAGGAGGAGGCGGAGGAGGAGGAGGAGGAGGAGGAGGAGATGAGGAGGAGTAATTATGAGGAGGAGGAGGAGGTGGGGAGGAGGAGGAGGAGGAGGAGGAGGATGAGGAGGAGGAGGAGGAGGAGGATGAGGAGGAGGAGGAGGAAAGGAGGAGGAGGAGGAGAAGGAGGAAGAGGAGGCGGAGGAGGAGGAGGCCACCGAGCCCCAACCGTTTTAGGAGGAGGAGGAGGAAGAGGAGGAGGAGGAGGAGGAGGAGGAGAAGAGGGATAGGGAACGGGGGCAGGAGAAGAGGACCAACGTGAATCCAAGACGCACGAACGGTGCTGCAGTAAACCCTCCGTCCAAGTTCCCTCTGCATAGGTCCTTCCAAGAATTTATTATCATGGTGGGAAGTGGCCCATTAGAAGGTAACCGATTGAAAATCCCCTAAAACGCCGTTCCTGGGACTCCAACGCTGCGGATCAACGTTGCTGATGCTCTGTGGCGATCTTAAATCGTGCAAGAATGCAGCTCTTTGGACTTCAACACCGCGAGTCAACTTGGCTGTCGCATCTAGACAATCCTTAACCGCGCCAGAACACCATTCCTGGGACTTCGACCGTACTAATCCTGGAACAGATCGCAAGCTATTGCGATGAACGTGGGCCGTGCTGAGGCGAGAGCCACATTTTGACATGGAACCGCCCTTGATCCTTCGGCGCTCGGGCGAGAGCCACATTCTGAAAAGGACCCGCCCTCCAGCCACGAAACAGCTGCACCTTTCAAGCTGCAGGATCACAAGTGGTGCGGAGGTGTCGGGCAAGCCGCCCAGCTCGCCCTACTGATACGTCTGGGGGTGTGACTGGCAGAAAAGTTGCCATTCGGACAGAAGGGATGGAGGGGGAGGACTGGGAGGCGTGGAGGGAGGGGAGTGGGAGGGAGGGGTGGGGGGAAGGGATGGAGGGGGAGGGAGGGCTGGAGGGATGGTGTTCTGGATGGCGGAGGAGGCGCGGGAGGGAGGGAGGGATGGAGGGGGAGGAGTGGGGGGCGCGGAGGGAGGAGTGGGAGGCGTGGAGGGGGCAGGAGTAGGAGGAGGGGCCCTCGGACCCCCTGCAGCCGCGCGCCAAGGGCCGCTCCCGCCCAACCGCCGCTGCTCTCCGTGCAGCCGAGGGGGGGGCACCTGCGGGGAACCCGGGCGGCACGGGCGCCCGCACCTCACGAGCTGCCTCCACGCCGGCGCCGACGCAGACGCCGGCCTTGGCGTCACGGAGCTCGCCCCCCTTCGGCAGCCCCCTTCCGCGGCTGCCGCGGCCCGATCTCCACCGCCCTGCCCGATGGCGCGGCCCCCGCGGCTTCGGGGGGGGGGGTCTCCTCCTCCTCCTCCTCCTCCTCCCTCCCTCCTCCTCCTCCTCTCCTCACTCCTCCTCCTCCTCTCCTCCT